CCCCAAAACCCCAAACCCCAAAACCCCAAAACCCCTTAATGCTAGATTAATAAGATTTTAGTCCATCAATATATTTGCATTAAATCAAATATTTAGATTAGTAGAATAGTGTACATACATTTAAAGTAACGTAGAATTATACTAAACTCAAAATTAAGATTAAAAATCTGATGAATAGTCAAAACACAGTAGCACCAACAACTACAATATTAAATCCAGAAACTCAAAGCCTGTAACAACCCCAAGGTTCTAAGACTTTGTGGATTGGAGATATTGAACCTTGGATGGATGAAAGCTACACCTCTAATTTATTCAATGGAGTAAGCTACCTTTAAATATTAATAAATTTTTAGATTGCCTTAGTAGTAAGTGTAAAACTCATTAGAGATAAAAACAAAGGAACTCCAGTTGGTAAATATTTTTCTTTTGATTGATATTAATTTATAGGTTATGGATTTGTAGAGTTTGCCAGTCATGATATAGCAAAATAAGTTTTCCAAAACTTAAATGGTTCACCAATCCCTGGAACTACAAAAATCTTCAAACTCAACTGGGCTTCTCACTAAGCAAATGGCGTAGGCAAAAATCATCAAATGAACAATCATTGCAATAATCATAGTTCAAATTAAAATGGTTTTGGCAATTAATAGCAAGCTGATCACCAGATATATGTGGGAGATCTTGATGCTAATGTAAATGATCAGATGCTTATGGTCGCATTCTAAAAGAGATATCCATCAGTAACTCAAGCCAAGATTATCGTAGACCCTCAAACTAAAGTCTCTAAGGGATATGGCTTTGTCAAGTTTATTTCTTAGGAGGAATAATAGAAAGCCCTCACTGAAATGCAGGGGAAGTATTTACTTTCAAAGCCTATGAAAATCAATCATGCTTCTTAAAAGAAGGATACATAATTGCCTCAAAATGGAAATCCGCAAATGAAAAATATGGTTGCTCCAATACAAAGCTAAATGCCACCCTAGCCTTTTTCTCAGCCAGGATTTTATAATCCCCTATTGCAACCTCAAATCTTTGAATAGTTTCCAGATCCATAAATGAATATGTATCCTCCTCCTTATATTAATCAGCCATTTTAAAATTTCATGCAGCCAATGTAACAAAATCAAGGTTATTATTAGCCTGCACCACTTAATTTATCACAATCAGGAATTAACTACTTCCCTCCTTACTAATAACCCTAGAATTGGCAATATGATCCATTATAAATGGTGTAATTACCTGCAACATCCTAAGTGAATCTAAATTTATAGTAATAAATTCCTTAGGTCCCAATATCTTTATCAAATATGATTATGTAGGAACCTACCAAGTCTGATAAGATTTAGTAATACACTTAACTAATAAATCAATTATTCAGCAAAGATAAAAGTTCAAGTTTGGTAGAACAGATAAAGGCTTTAAGTCCTTAGGACTAGAGTGCACTGAATTAAATAGTTTCAGACCCTGAATTCTAGATTCTCCTTTAGTAAAGATAGTAATTTCAACAATCATAATAATTGAGTCAGTAAGATTAGCTTGAGTCAAGTAAAAGTGAGAATAGTGATAATGTTAATAACTTATCTATCAAGTAAGAGTCTTCAAAGCAATAGCAAAATAAAACAGGCAGTAGTTCCTCAAGCTAGAATTCTTAGATCTCGAATTAAACATCTAAGCATCCAAAAAGCTAGATAATTAATGATCCAAGATACAATTTGAACTAGGTATAAATGCAGAAATAGAATAAAGAGACTTCTAGAAGTCAGCTAAACAAGAAAAGAACTTACCAAGAGTTGAGCAAGGATGAAGTAGATATTTTAGGTAGTGAATTTATTAAGGAAAAAATGTAGAAAACAGAACTAGCTTATCTTTATTGACTTCTATTATCATCCTCAAGCATTCCTAGATTATATCATTTAGCTTTCAATTTGATAATTTGATTTAATTTCATTTAATACTTTGAAACTTATATACTGATTAAAATTCGGGGTTTTGGGGTTTTGGGGTTTTGGGG